CGAGACGCTGGTCAGGCTCCGCGGCGCAGCTCAAAAATGAATAATCGCCCCCGATTGACTTAAATTCCACCGAAGCCGGCGCCGCGGCCGCCCGCCGCTCGGGATCTGCTTGCTGTGTTTTTGCTTTCTCCATTCTTCCTTAAAAAAAAAAAAATAGCAAAACAAAACCAGCCAGCCAACCAAGAATCCGGTTTGTTGATCGCCTTATTTTTTCCCCCCACCGTTTGCGGGATTTGCAAACCGAATTACATGCATGTCCAGTGGGGGTAGGTTTAATTTTGACGATGGAGGGTCCTACTGTGGAGGCTGGGAGGACGGCAAGGCGCACGGCCATGGCGTCTGCACCGGCCCCAAGGGCCAGGGCGAATACACCGGCTCGTGGAGCCACGGCTTCGAGGTGCTGGGCGTCTACACCTGGCCCAGCGGCAACACGTACCAGGGCACTTGGGCGCAGGGCAAGCGCCACGGCATCGGCCTGGAGAGCAAGGGGAAGTGGGTGTACAAGGGCGAGTGGACGCACGGATTTAAGGGGCGCTACGGGGTGCGGGAGTGCACGGGCAACGGGGCCAAGTACGAAGGGACCTGGAGCAACGGGCTGCAGGACGGCTACGGCACCGAGACCTACTCAGATGGAGGTAGGTGCGCCGGTGCGGGCGGGCTGGGGTTGGGCGGAGGAGGGACCTTCTCTTGCCTCTACTGTTTATCTCTGGGGAAGTTGAGCTTCTCCCTCCAGTGGGGCCATGGGCACCTGGGCATTTCCTGGGGTTCTCTGGAGGCCCAGCTGCCCTGGCTACAGGTTGCCCCACTGCTTACTGGGGGACAGCACGCCTGTGCCAGCTGAAGATGTTGGGGGCTTTCCAGGAGCCGAGCCAGGCCCTGGAGTTGCGGAGTTGAGCAGAGTGTCTGTGCATCATCCAAGAGCAGGCCAGAAACCTGCGGAGAGGCCAGCTTGGGCCTACGGCCTCCCCTGGGACCCCCTGAGGGCGGAGAGGGGCTGGGAGAGGGCCCCCTCCCCTTGCTGACAGAGCTCCCTTGGCGTGGGCCTCCTGGAGTTAGGCCCCGGCTTTGCTTCTTGTTTTCCTGCGGTGCCAGAGGGCCTTCCTCAGACCTGATCAACTCAAGCCAATGGAAACGGAGCGATTGGGAGAGCTATAGGCGGGGGACAGGAACCCCAACCAACACAACAAGGCAATAAACTTCTAGGTGGTTGGACATGGGCTAGCACTGTCGGAGCAGGCTGCCGAAAGGAGGGAGGGAGGGAGGCCCATCTGTTTAGTGAGAGCCCAGGAATCTCACCGTTCAGGGGCTGAATCATTTTCCCCATTAGTTCAGGGAATGCTCTGTGCCTTCATTCTAAGATGCCACCACATTCAGGGCCGAGCTGGTGCAGGAAGCCAGGGAGCTGCCCACCACTGCTGTAAGATGATTTCTGTGCCGGGGGCCTTGCGGCTACACCCTGCCCCAGACACTCCAGTGTCCACTCCTTGGTGCATCTGAAAAGCGTGGAGCCTTTACTGTTCCTGGAAGCCAGACCCCAAACCAGCCTGCTCTCCAGATGCAGCCCCCGCCCCCCACCCCACCTCCTCCCCAATCTGGGAGCTCATCTTCAGAAGTGGCGAGGTAATTTTTCAGGCTCGGGCAAGGAGTGGGGCACAGCAGTGACTGTGTGCTTCTGGTGGGCATAGAAATCATGAGTGTATGTGTGGTCTTCTCCCTGCCTCTCGCTGCCTCCAAGTCTCATGAAGCAAGTGCTCAACACCTGCTCCCCGGCCACATCCAGGGGTGACAGGGCTGGAGAGTAATTATTATTTTGGCTTATGCAACTGAGAGGCAGGGTTCATTATTCCTCAAAGGGGAGGAGGCGTGGGGGGCAGTTAATTATATAATGCTCCTGCCTGTCACAGCCGTGCCCAGCCCTGGTCCCAGGCGGCCTCTTCTGTGCTGTTGTTGTTTTCATTGATCACGTTGGAGAGTTCTCTGACCCTGGGGTGTGAGGGCCTGGCCAGCAGACGGACCTGCTGGGTTCCAGGTCGTGTGTGTGTGTGTGTGTGTGTGTGTGTGTCCGCACAGCGAGGCTCCGTAGCAGATGCGAGTGGTCCAGCAGCCTAGCACACCCAGCTGGGCACTTTGGGAGCCCAGGGGCAGTTGTCACCCATGGGCTACTAGGCTGCTCTGCTCTGCAGATCCGTTCCTCCAGAGGTGCTCCCAGATGTGCCTGAGCCAGGAGAGTGGCTTCACGGTCCTATGCAGGGGGCCTCAGGTGGAGGCATGTGGAGGAGAGGAATTAAGACCTCCCCAGAATATCTGGGGGGGAGGTCTAGCACCCCAGTGTGCCCACCTTCCCTGGACATCTTTAGTGGCCTGTGGAATTCTGTTCTTCGTTCAGCACATATCTACTGAGTGCCTACATTGAGCAGGTGCTCTGGACTCTGGGAAAACAGCAGTGAACAAAGCAGACAGAAAAGTTGCCCTCATAGAGCTTCCACTTTAGAAGGAAGGGTGGTAATTAAGTTGTGATTGCTGGGGGAAGAGAGGATCTGATTCCGTGGCTGGCCATGAGTTTAGGGTCTGACATGTTGATGTGAGAAACGCTTCTTTTTATTGGATTTATGTCCTTGGTCTCTATCCCCCATCCAACCAGCTAAGCAGCATTCAGTTCCTTAAAGCCCTTCCCCGCTGCATCTTCTTGCTTGAGTGTCACATGATGGAGGGGATCATGACCATTTTACAGATGAGGGTAGATGGTGGCAGAGTTGAGGGTCTGAACCCTGATCTGTCCTCCTCATACCACCTGTATGCCAACAGAGGCAGCATACCAATGCAGGGCGCCAGGGCCAGCTGCTTCCTTGTGGTTTGTGATGTGGCATGGCAGAAAATGGAATTGACCCTTCTGGTCTGTATAATCAAGCCCAGAATCTGGAGCCATTTTGCTGGAACATGGCCCCACTTCTCATTAGGAAGGAGGTGACTGTGGAGAATGTGTACCTTTGAGCAATCCATCAAGCAAGCAGAGCCAAGTGGGGCATCTTAATCCGCCAGAACAAAACAGTGGATTTCTGTGCCTTCCCCCGAGGGTCAGCTGGTGGGCTGTGATGGGTCTTCCTTCCGAGAGGGCAGAGCCTTTAATGAATTAATGGCTCAGTCCAACTTTTCCTGTGCACAGAGGATGGGAATATTGGGCAGGCATCAGCAAGCTCCCAAACTTCAGCCCAGCTCCCAGTGCTGACTTGGGAAAACAGTGATGTTCATGAATAATGCACAAACAGCAAATGTATTCTACATTTAGCTGGAATTGGTATGGAATCCATTTCAGCTGGAGACACTTCTGCCAACTCCTCCTCCTTCAGGTTCATCCTCCCCTGAGCGCAAGGCAGGTGTTGCTCATTGAAGTGAGCTGAACGGCTTCCACAGTGTGTTGGGTGACTCCACATAGACCGTGAGGCTGGGGCTGTGGGGTGGCAGGAGCACATGCTGTGGAGTTTACAGCTGTTGTGCTTGAATCCCAGCTGTGCCTTTGCTCTGTGACCTTGGGCGAGTTATTTGACTTCCCTGAGCGTCTGTTTCTTCACATGTTCAAAGGAGTGATAATAACACCTGTAAATTAGGTGGGGGTTAATTGAGGTGCTGTACACAGGTATACTAGTAAGCATTCGTTATTATTTATCACTGCTTTACTATTACAGTTCACATGCAACGAGTGCCACGTGTAATGATTATTTTTCAGAACAAATAGCCAGACATGACAATGATGATATTGAAAAGGACAATGCATAGCAATAGTTCACACTCACTGTGTGCAGGGAATGAGTCGAGTGTTTGGGTGAATTGTAGCACTTAATTTCTGTACCTCTCCAGGACTGTTCCTCCATTTCCCACATTGGGAAGTGGAGGCTCAGAGAAGGCATATAAGCATTGGGCCACACCCGGATTCACGCTCAGGATGGCCATACCAGAGCCTGGCTTTTGTGTGGAACACCTCTCTCTAAACTGCCAGGTTCAAACTACCTCCTTGTTCTTCCCTCTTCCTCCACACCCATTCTTCTCTTCTGGGTGCAGCAGCCCAGAGTTGTAGGCAAGTGCACTTTCGCAGACGCGCACACCTGGACCCCCACCTCCAGTCCCACCAGGCCCATTGCCTCTTCTCCACTCGCTGGACCCCTGCGCCAAGCTGCACAGGTAAATATTTCCTCCTGGGTGCCGTGTACATAGGGTCCCTGGGACCAAAAGTTACCCCCTGCAAATAAACCCTCCCACAGCCTGAAAGATATGAGTCATCTCACACACCCGGCCTCTCCCCCTCATACACAGATTCCGTTCACCGGCCCAGATCCCTCCACCCACACAAATCACACACGCCCACAGTCAAAATTCAGATCTCCCGGCGCCTGCGCGCGCAGGCGCACAACACACCTGTCACCCAGAGACGTTTTCCATCCTGTCCCCCAAAACACAGCCACGTGCACCCGCCCAGCTTTGTTCTCTGGCCAAGTACTCCACCCCCTACGATTCCTGCTCCTGAGAAGCAGCCATCCCAGAGGGAGAGCGCTGGCCTAGAGGAGGGCTCAGATTACAGATGGAGCAGAATGTGTCCTTTCCACTTTAAACATATGTTTATGCAGTTAATGCCCATAGGAAGGGGGAAACCTAAACAAACTAAACAACCTTTGGGCATATTTTTGGTACTTAGCCATGAATATGTGAAAGTAATTTTTATTTTTATTTTTTTGTTAATCCTCACCCGAGGATATTTTTCCATTGATTTTTAGAGAAGTGGAAAGGAGAGGGAGAGACAGAGAGAAACATCGATGTGAGAGAAACACATTGATTGGTTGCCTCCTGCATGTACCCAGAACAGGGCCAGAAAACCTGCAACCAAGGTACATGCCCCAGACCGGAATCCAACCTGGGACTGATGCTCTATCCACTGAGCCAAACCAGGGCAAAAGTAATTTTTTTTAAAAAACCCAAATGCCCAGGTTAGGTGGAAGTGGGCCATCAGAACTCCTTTCAGAAAGAAAAAGAATCCAGCACTCAGCTATGGGAGATAAAAGCATCTCCTCAGAAATTCTCTTTCAGCCACTTTGGAGAGGGAGAAGGTGAAATGAGAAGGGAAAAGCAAATAACTAGTTCTTTGTTGCCAATAATAGCTGAGAAAGAAGTGTTACTGAAGACTCCCTCACCCAGCACAGCCCTGGAGCGATTTGACGGGCTTTATATTAGGAAGCCAAACGGGCTGGTGAGGAAGTGAGGATCAGCACCCTCCGAAAATAGCCACCCCACCAAAGTCAGTGAGTAGCCTCCGGCTGGTGTTAGCAGTTAACGCAGCTAACCTGACGAAAGGGGGCTGTGGGCCCATCTGGCTAGAGAGAGGGAGACCCCAGAAAAACAAAGGGTGATAGTGGCTGTAGAGGGAGGGCCAAGAACCTCTGCTGTTTTTCTACAAGACTCCTTTGCTACCTCAATTTCCCCCAGGCCTCCACTACTCTAAAGATAACTAGCTACCAACTCTGAGCTGGTCATTTTGTAGATAAAACTCATTATGTCCTTAAATGACAAGATGTTTAGAGTTGTGAGCACTAGAAAAAGAGTAATGTTTGTTTTCATTTTCGACAGTGGTCCATCCCCTCTTGGATCA